GCCACTAATAAGACACTGTTTTGAGACAGAAATGTTGGTGTTTTATTTGAGTTAGCATATGTCTCGGCTCATCTTACACACAGCATTAGAAAGCTGATATAAAAGAAAGAAAATCCATCCTGCTCTCCTCTGACATTCAAAGGAAACAAATCATTAAAAACAATCAAGTAAAAATCGAAAATCACACAAAGTTTCTAATAGAATTAACCAACAACGTGTAAAAATCACCTGAAATGTGTTCATCAGACACTGACAACTTACATCCCTTTCCTCTTTGCTATGAAAGTCTTCAGTCGGCAGTGCAGTTTGTCTTAAAAAAAAATTAAACAAAACCCCGAATACTAAAATAAAAATCCAAACAACACCAGCATATTGAACTGTGGGACACGACACTCGGCTTTCAGTGCAATAAAACCTCAGCGATAAAACATCATGATTAAAACAAGGCGACAAAAATCCTCAATTGTCTTCTTTTTGGTCGAGCTCCCTGAAAATAAAAACAAAGCAGATATATTTGAATATTATTACCACACAGAAAGCACAAAGGGTTTGACAGAGTTTGAAGCATGAGTTTCATATTGCTTTTAGGATTTGTGTCCTTCCCACTGGGGATGAGAGGGACACGCCGTCTTCCTGACTTTTATGGTTTTAATATGGTTTACTCTCTCTGGACTCTACCTTCTTACTGTCCAACTACCAGAACCCAGATGATGATAAATGAGAACAATGTGAATATTCATCTCGACTGCTTTTAATTACTGCTGTGCGCTCACAGAACTCACATTCAGCTCCAACAGAAGGAGCTGATTTTCACTTTACTCTGTTGCCCTGGGTTTTGCCTGTCAGGCTGCACAGAGGCTACAGCGTCTGATTGGTGGATGCGGTATGTGCAGCTTGACAAAACAGACTGCATGCACGAACCAGGGTTGGAAAATCTTAGTGCTCTGCTCTGCACATTTTTCTGGATTAAAAAAACCCAAAAAACAGTCGTGCACAAAACTTCATAATAAATACTGCAAATGTTGAGCCCAAATTAAGAGTTTTGAGTATCAAGAAAGTGGTTTTCTTTTACCCTATGAGATCACCATGGTAACCTGTCCTTCTGTTCAGTGTTTGGATTTAAATAGGCTGTAAGAGGCGGTGCCCTTTCATCACTTCTTTTCCCGACCATATTCTTGAGCCTCTACACAGCCAACTGTATGTATTGTGTTGCCACAAGAACCTACATGCATTCAGTTAGCGGTGCAGAAAACACATAAATATGTTATATTAGGTAATTATAAATGAGTCTGCTTTTACACTCCTGGTGTTGCAGCCAGCAGAACACTGACTAGAAGCATGTCCAGCCTATTGTCTCTTTAGTGGAATTTACTCCAGACAATGTTCAATCAATACCGTAAGTTTCACTTTGTTATTGCCAAAAGTGATTTCCACGTATCCTTCATTATGGGATGGTGTCAGACCTAAATGTACTTCTTGAGTATCATGTTTAAATAAATAAAATTTGAAGTTTAAGAGCTCCAATGTGCAGCAGTCACATTAGAAATAACCGACTACACTGAGAATTCACTGAGTGCCAAAACAAACACATTAGCGTGCATGAATAACAACTTTCTACCTGCATTTCTCCCTTGTTTACTTTGCAGTAACAGCCCTTTTTTTCATAATAATCGTTTCAATATTCCTCATAGCTATCCACTATAACAACTTGTTCTTTTTGACTGAAGTAAGCAGCACACGATTGGCCCATTTTGTGCAGAAAAAGAGTCACATGACGCGTTAAACACCTCCTTCTATGGGAGCTTGGACCGACCATGATTAATAGTAATTATCACTGATTGGGGTTTTGGGTTTTGTTGAGCCAGGTTACACAAAAAAAAGCCTGGATATGTCAAACTCGCCCTCGCAGAACACCCCTCTGACGTACCTAGGTACATGTAAACACATTTGTTAGGGAGTGTGTCCTCACCTAAATGCCTAGCGGCTGCTCCATGGACCCCCCCAGCTGCAGCAAAGCAGCACTGAGTCCATCCTTCAGCGCTGAGTAGTCGGGCTGCTCAGCGTACTGCAGAGCCATCACTGAAGTCAGGTAGGTTTGAAATGCACCTTCACCACAACACACACAGAAACATGTTAGCAAACAGCAAGCAGTCAGCCTTGTTGTATGTGATGGAAGGAGCAGTTAAACTCACTGGAAACCGTCTTCTTTCCAAAGCAGTGCCTCAACAGCGCTTTCACATCGTCCATGTACCTGCATCGAAAACTTTTTGTAAGTTGGGTGAAGAGGTATGTAACAGAAATGTGACACAGTTTGGTATTTCTATGGTGCTTTGATAAGCTCCCTCTTACATCTGCTTCTGGGAGGCGACCTGGTCGGGCTGACTGACATCGGTCCACGGCAGCATCCCCGTGCACCAGTGCAGCATGCAGTAACCCAGAGACTGTAAGTCACTGCGGCGAGACGGAGCTGAAACACAGCGAAACGACAGGGCGGCTGTTTAATCTTCCTTTTTTATGATTCTCATAATAATGTAAAATGCTGTAAGAGCTTTTAACACTGAAGAACATCACAGCCAGTTTCAGAAGAGAAAATCAAATCAGCCTTATTATGTGGGACAGATGGAGTGTGGGCAGAGCGCTGACGTCCCTCATGGAGGGGAGAAAATAAATATGGTGCTGTGTTGGGTTACAGTTATATATATTTATGATGAAGTGAGGTAGAATTCAGTGACGCTGGTGGAGGGCTGCTGCAAAGTGGCGCGGTGGTTAGCACCGTCACCTCGCAGCAAGAAGGTCGTCAGTTCGCGTCCCAGTGAGGACACTCTGGATCTTTCTGCGTGGAGTTTACATGTTCTCCCCGTGCAGCGTGGGTTCTCTCTGGGTTCTCCGGCTTCCTCCCACAGTCCAGAAACATGTTGAGGTTAAGTGGTGATTCTAAATTGTCCGTAGGTGTGAGTGTGAGTGTGCTTGGTTGTCTGTCTCTAAGTGTAGCCCTGTGATAGACTGGTTACCTGTCCAGGTGAACCTGCATTCACCCTGAGTCAGCTGGGATAGACTCCAGCCCCCTGTGACCCTAGTGAGGATTAGGCAGTGTATAGATAATGGATGGATGGTGGAGGGCTTTAGTTCATAGAGGTGACTCACCAGCTCCTTTATGTGCGTCCATGCTGATGAACTCTATGGTGCCCTCGTGTGGCGTCCTGCTGGCTTCGCGGTACTCTACGTGTTGACCTCCTGGACAGTACCTGAAGGCGAGCTCGTATCCTACGAGGTATATCTGAGTACACGCAGCAGAGTGATCAGTGTTGAACACACTTCACTCTTGGACACTCACAGAGCAAAGTTGTGAATATTTCCCACCTGTGATTTCTGTCCTTGTGCAACGTAGATGTTCTTCGCATTAATATCAGCATGAACGTATTCGTTTGAATGGATGTACTGCAGCACGTCTAACTGCAAGGAGAGAGAAGTTTTAGAGTGTTGTTTGGAGACTAAGCTTTCAAGTTTTGGCGAGGCAAGTTCTCAGAGAATGTAGGAACACTAACGATTCTACAGGCGAGCTGAAGAACGACTTTCTGAGACAGAGGCTCATTTTCTTCCTCAATGACCGAGTGGAGTGACTGGCCCATGCTGGGGAAAATCAGAAACCTACAATAATAACAACAACAAAAAAAAATAAAATGGCAGTTAATGTAAAAATGCTTTTCTATACCAACGTGTAAATATTCAGGGATAAACTCTCCACCTGTATGAATCAGCATGAAGACCAAAGCCAACACAGGAAGGAATCCCCAAAAAGTCCATGTGGTTTTGTTTGACCCACTTCTCCACTGAAGAGACAAAAAGCCTCAGTTCATTTGTGACCATGTGGGATGCTGTATGTAACGTTACACTCCGGACAAGTTAGAATCATAAATCATCTGAATGTCACATAAAATCAAGCAGATACTTTCATGTGACATTGTGCAAGTGAAAGAACCCCTTCTCACAGTCTGGCTCTATTTCAGCCTGCAGTTAGTGGTTGTGTGTCTGACTCATTTCTGTGTGACACGTTCAGCCTTTCAGTCACCTGGTAACACAAACACTAAAATACTGTTGCTAGGTCGGTTTGAACAAAGTCGATTTATTGTGTAGTTTTCGTCATAACAATTAAGAATTTAAGTAGAACAAGTAAAACATCCTGTCGTCCGTAAGTGAAAGAAACATTCAGCTTTAAGGAGCTAAAACCTGTTGATCTGGGAAAGAAAGGAAATATGCACACAAAACATGCGGAACCCTCACCAGATGCAGGTTTGGCAGCTCTCTGCAGGAAGTTCTGCTCGTTGAAGATTCTTCCATCTTTAGCAGCCTAAGAGAAAGAAATATGAAATCAACTTTAATGATTCTACACGGCATAGATGAAGAACTGAAGAAGCATTAATTATAGAAACAGGGAACAAATAAAAGCAGTTTGTTGGTGAATGTTTTTAAAATGCTGGCACCTCTGTGACACAGCGGAAGAATAATTCATCACATTTTGGATGGAAAAGCTTAAAATCTCCTACAAGCACTCACCAGTTTGAGGATGTGATTTGATTCCTTGGTACTGGGCCGAGAAACTGAAAAAGACAAAACAATATTCTTCAATTGGGACAATAAAGAGTTCAGTTGAAACTCTGGGACACAATTTGCTTGAAGTTAACAGGAACCCAGAGATGGTTAAACTCATTTTATCCAACAATTCAGGCGTCAATACAGATTGATAAGATCAGAGGTAACGTCCAAATAAAGTCGTTTGTGGGGAAGGTTTTGTTTTGGTCCATTGTTTTAGTTTTACTACAAGTTGTGTCATCGTGTGTCAGCACTGCCCCTAAAAAAAACAAAAAAAAACAGTCTATCACAGGGCTACACTTAGAGACAGACAACCAAGCACTCTCACATTCACACCTACGGACAATTTAGAATCACCAATTAACCTCAACATGTTTTTGGACCTTGTGGGACGAAGCAGGAGAGAACCCGGAGAGAACCCACGCTGCACGGGGAGAACATGGAGACTCCACGCAGAAAGATCCCGAGTGTCCTCACCGGGACACGAAACGGCAACGATGCTAACCACCGATCCACCTTGCAGCCCTTCATTATATCAGTGTATAATAATTATTCTCATAACGCTGTGTCCTGCAATATAAATATAATCCAAACTTTGGTCTTTTTTTTTTTTTTAAGTAATTAAATTGAACTGAACAACAGACTGTTAAATTCTACATTCTTTATATTTCCTGATATTTCTCCTGATGTCCTGAACACAGTCTCACCTTCATAGATGAGCTCTGTTGTGCTCTGACTCTGCTGCTTCATCAGCTTCCACTTCTTTCCCGTGGTGTCCGTCACCTCCTCGCCTTCCTGCAGTGGCTCCAAAGCGAATGCATGCTTTGCCCTCTTGGCTTTACTTTTTCCTGTCGACGCACATTCATGCAAAAATTTCAAGATTATGTTGGAAAACGAAGATAAAATTATATACTTACTGCATATTTGTCTCTTGGACTTTACTCTGACATCCTGGTAAATGTGCTTATGTAGGAGTATGTGTGTAACATCTTGTATTGCGTGACAGCTTTGAAAGTTGTAGCTCACCTTTAAAAGGAGACCTCGGGGTCGGAGAGGAGCCGTCTACTGCTGATTCCTCTGCTGTCCCACTTGCTTTGAATGACAGCCTCGCTCCTGCTGCAGCCTGCTTCCCAGAAGGGCTGGAGAGTTTTGACTTTCCTCTGACTACACATGAACCCCAACAACAACAAACATGGATTAAAGACAGATCATGACAGCAAAGAAGAGAGACAGTAATTTTCATGAGCCAGTGTATTATCAGACTGAACAGATTGGTCACCAGATCGAGGGGATTTTACGGTAGAAGATGATTCTGGCACTACTTCTGCATCAAGTTTAAAAGTGACTGTGTGCTGCTTGGGTGGAGAAGCTTGTAACCCAACACCATCATCTGCGGATGCAAATCACAGTTCGTCTTTGATTTCCATGCAAAAAGGCAATGTGTAGTTGTGCGTTACTCCTGCTGCTTATTTTCTTGTATCTCCTATCAGAAAACTAAATCAAACCTTTAAGGTGAAACTGCTTCCAGAGCAACTGAATTAATTACCTTCAGTCTTGTCATCTTTGACAGGAGAAGTGGAGGGCACCACAGAGGAAGTGGCAACCTTCCTGCTGAATTTAGTATACTTCTCGGGGGAACTCAGAAGGAAGTTGTGGGTCTTCTGCAGTGCAGGACGAGCTAAACCTGTAGATGAAGTGATACCTTCAGGGGCAGCAGAAAAAGAGAATTTGCAATTAAAAAACTTTTAACACCACACAAACGCTGATATGTACGGATAAAACAGACTAATTCTTTAATAAAAAGTTGCTAATATATGCTCCCTTACGTTCTCTGGGCTCATTAATGGAGCTTGAAGCACGACTTGTCTCACCTAGAGATGGTGTTGATTCTATCCTTGTGGGCGCAGAGAGACTATAAGAAGTGGTTGAGATTGCAGGTCCACATTTATCAGCAGGAGAGGGAAGTTTCTCCCCACATGATGGACAGAATCTGAAATCAGGCTGCAGCTTTGTCCCACACTGAGGGCAGAAATGGAAAGGCATTCTGCAAGAGTGAACACACACATTATCATACATCTGTCCTCACTGCCGTGGAGGGTCTTTCTGGCTGTTCCTGTGTATGAATCCTAGTAGAGAAAATAAAACACAAACCTAAAAACTTGGTTAAAATATACTTAACAGAAATATAAAACACAGCATGTAATATGTTATACTTTTTTTAACATAAGGAAACAAATATTTTTTGATCCAACAAATGACGTGTACAAAAAATGGACGGCATGAAACAACTAAGTATGCACTATGTTAGAAATGATAAGTGGGGGTCTTAAATTAGAAATGACAACCCAACAATGAGTAACATGGAGTCAATGAGGCTGTCGATGTCGGCTTGTGTAATGTTGTGTAGTGTTGTCGTACGCCTCAGACACATCCATTCAGAGATGCCAGACAAGATTTCTTGGAGTTATGGACATTCACGTGTTTGGCAAAGCCCCTGACTGACATGCCAACAACCAGTTGTTATTTTTCTCGCGTCATTTGTGACATCGTCTCGTTGAAACACACATGGTCACCGGTCAGAGGAGTTTTCATGACCTGTCAAGGGTGGGGATTGACTCTGTGGTTGAGAAACTGTAATCAGTTGAAAAAAAATGTTGAGAACACAAGTGACTACATGTAACCCTCTTTCTAACTGCAACAACAGAGATTTTTAATGTTTTCTGAGTCACAAAGTCAGACCCTTAGCATGCTGCTTTCATCAGCCAGTCTGTTCAAAAAGTCAAAGTAGATTTTATCCACATAGCATCCATGAATGTAACTGTCACAGCCAACACAGTTATTAGGACTGGATGCTCACAGGCCAGTGTGCGTCTGACAGTGATGTGTTCACTGGTCAGGTCTGTAACCATGGAGATACATGGTCCGGTATAACCATGGCAACAACAAATGAGTTTTCCTCCCCCCGCGCCTGTATCCAGCTTCATTAGATTAGAAACACTTCTTTCATTTCTGCACGAAACTGTGCAACAACAACAACAAAAGTGTAATAAAACCCATCTTAAGCTAAAGGTGATTCTGATTTCTCGTCAGTTTGGTATTTTAAACTGGTTCCTTAACAAGAAACTAGCAGGGCGTTCACCTTAGCCAGCTAACATTAGCACTGTGTTAACAATACGACAAAGACTGAATTGTGCAACTACAAAACACATCAGAGCTGAGGCATGCATGGTTTCACTTTTACGTTTTTCCCGTTTCCCGAAAGAAAACGAACAACTAACATTAGCTAGCTAATACTTAGACGAAACTTTAAAAACAATCCAAACAGAGCGAATGAGTTAGAGGCGAAAACATCGTCTTACTATCTACTCTTTATTGCATACGATAAAAACTGCCACCTGTAGTGTAGTAATTAATTTTAGACACTAAACACAGTTACTACCTTTCAAACGCCAGTCAGGAAGTTTGGGTTCCGAGTTTCTTCTTCTCCGGATAAAAAACAGTCCTGCAGCTGGCTCTGAGCTGAGCTGCTGCCCCCTGCAGGAGCTCAGGACAGCTGCAGCCAAAGCGTCACCTCAAACAGGTGGAGCTTTTATCAGCTCTCAGGGAAACTGCTCTTTTCCCATAGCTGATAATATGATGAAGGTCAGTCAGTGTAGGGCTCCAGCAGGCAGCGTTGGTGGATGTGTGTAGGGAGAGCTGTGGCAGCGGAGCCTGAAGTGAATTTAAACGATTTTTGGTACCATACCTCCGTACTTTTCATAAACGTATTACACTTACCGTCATGACAGACTTCTAGAGCTGTTATATGTGAAAATATAGCACACAAATGGAAGCCTTAATGAGTATAAAGGGCTACCTGACATGACTAACTTGAAAACTGAATTTATAAACAAAGCATTATATTGTTGTTTAAAGAGATGAACATATTTCAAGTACCAGAAAAAGCAGAAAACAAACACACAGAGGTTGAAAGGATTCTACATTATGATGAGATAATTAGCATTTAGTGTCATATGTTTCATTACTGGAACACATATGATAATAATAATAATAATAATATTGGCTATACAAGAATCTCCTGTCAGCTGCACTTAGTCATAACTTTAAGAATCAATGACATAAAATAACGCACTGCGTCAAGGAATACATAAATACAAATGTTTATTTTTTGGACAAAATGTACACATATGAAAGTATGGCACAATTGACAACATTGTTTCGGTGTAGTCCTACTAATATGATCATCAATATTTAAATTTGTGGGCTAAAAACTTAATTATGTGTCTTAGCTCAAACGTCACATCCCCCCTTGTACACAGGAGAGAATGGCAGTGTAATACAAGTGTGGATTTGTGTGTAAAACAGTTAAATACAGTGTACTTTCAGTGTTTCGTGTGTTTCTATAAAACATCAGCAGTATTATAAACTGATCTAAAGAACACCTAAAGAGGGCAAACTGAAATGGAGGCCCCATTTTATTATCTTATTTGTAAAACTCGTTAATACAGCATCAAGCCTTATTAGCTTTCAAAAATCATCACATTCAACAACCCACTGATATTTCTGAGAATTCAGCAACAGCGCAGTCCTCTAGCAATCACATCCAGCACCTGAAAACAGGCAGTGAGCCACTAAGATCTTCATGCATCTCACATTCGATTCATTAAAAACAGCCACACTTAATACATTTATGACATTTGCTGCATAAAATAACATTTCTGCTCTTTTCCCCTGAATGTTGTTTCATCTGATAAAATGCAATATTAATTTGTTATGAATATCAACTATAAAACCCTCGGAAACCCTGAAATAACAAACAATCATTTGTTGATTTTAAGGGAGAAATCTTTAATACTATAAAACTGTTCTTATCATGAAAAAATGTACTTTGCCTGAAGTTACTTGTTTGATTATGGGAAGGTGCAAAATAAAAAGAGTCATGAAACTCTTTTGAAGTTTTTCTGCAGAAGAAATTTAAACTCTGCAACCTGAATAGTTGTCATTCAGCACAACACTCACACAACATTTGTGTTTATTTAATCAACAGCCAGGCAGGAAAAACTTTTTCGGCAGCTTCTAATCTCCAAGTTGCCCCTCCAAAATAATTTGCCAATTCTATTTTTTGATGGTGTGATGGCCAAATGGTTGAAATATCCACATCAAGTCTTTATTTATTTATAAATTTTTTTGCATTTCTCTTTTACAAGGCAGGATAAATTACTGGGACTAACAGGGTTCCTGAGTTGTTGCTCTGTTTCTACTCTTGCTTTCTATGACATACCTATTTATATTATTACATTACTGAGCACATTCTGTTTTTTGTATTTTCAGGTTAAAACCGCACATAACAAAGTGTAGATCATTTAATCAAAAACAGCAAACAAGCAAAAAGATTTAGAGAAGAAAACTGTCCACCTGACTGCCGTTGGACAGTCACTGTGAGCTACAACTTGGCTGGCGGTGGCTTCGTTGAGATATTCAGCAGGACGTTCAGCACAGCATCAGTAGGACGTAACCAGTGACCTAAAGGTTCCTAAAAGCACATCCACAGCCAATTTCTTTCTTTACAGCAGGTTAAGAGTATTAACAGTATATTTATAGCGTTCGGCAGCTCACGTCTCTGTGATGTGGAGGCCAACGTTTACACCTGAAAATATGATCAGCATACTCAACTGATTATTTAAGCTACGAAATAAATAACCCAAACTCACGACCAGAACAAATTAATGATTCAAAAGAGAACAAATTGAAATGAAATGCCCAAATTCAAAAGGCATTTAACTTAGAACTGACAAACTGTAAATCTGTATTACGCTGGTTTGTGGGGCAAAAGGCACAAATAATGTTAAGTTTAACCTAACACAGGATTTACTATACAAGCTCCCACTTTGTTATACTTGGATGTCTGCCTACTTTTCCACCAATATTACGAACGCACATGTGCGACTAAAATCTTTCTAACATGCACATTTGCCTCTATCAGCGCCCTCTGACGTGTCCGGGTCCATGGGTCCGTTGGCTCGGACAGTCCTGTCGGGGATCCAGGACTTGTCGACGCATCGTTCCATCCTCTTCATGATAAGATCCAGCAGGACGTCCACTGCATGGCTGACGTTCTGTCCGTTTGCAGCGCTCGTCTCAAAGTATGGGATTCTGCATGAAAACAAGGCTTGGTTATAAACACAGCATCAAAGACTACTGGTGAGTATTTACGGCAGCAGGACAGTGCACATGGGATCGACTCAAAATAAACTACTTTGTCCATTTTTTATTTATTTTTTTTAAAGAAATTTTTTGTCTTTATTAGATAGGGCAGGGGGCTGCAAGGTGGCTCAGTGGTTAGCATCGTTGCCTCGCAGCAAGAAGGTCCCCGGTGAGGACACCTCACTAGGGTCATGGGGGGCTGGAGTCTATCCCAGCTGACTCAGGGTGAAGGCAGGGGACACCTGGACAGGTAACCAGTCTATCACAGGGCTACACTTAGAGACAGACAACCAAGCACACTCACATTCACACCTACGGACAATTTACAATCACCAATTAACCTCAACATGTTTTTGGACCTTGTGGGACGAAGCCGGAGAACCCGGAGAGAACCCACGCTGCACGGGGAGAACATGGAGACTCCACGCAGAAAGCTCCCGGGTGTCCTCACTGGGACACGAACCAGCGTCCTTCTTGCTGCGAGGCAACGGCGCTAACCACCGAGCACCTTGCACCTTGACAGAATTTACAAAATGAATCAAGAACCTTTATGGAGAGGCAAAAAAACCCCAAACTGTCCAGCAGAGTAGGTGACATGTTGCGTTACACACTGAAGGCATTTAAAACATTTTACAAACTGTCCTACATTATCTGTGTTTTTAGTAGAGGTGTGTCTGATGGGGCCAAAGCAGGATATTTTACACGTGTGCACAAATATTTGCTTTTCGAGGAGGACCAGGTTAGTCCTCCGGTCTCTCGTACACACTTTGGCAAACAGTGCAGCCACTGCCTTCTTGACAAACGTTTCAGGGAGAGGCTCATGGACAGATGGATGGAAAACAGACAGACATACCCATATTTCTCTGCCAGCTCACGGGCCTCATCTTCACTGACTGCCCTCTGATCTGCCAGGTCACATTTGTTGCCGCACAGAACGACGTCTGGGTTTTCGCAGTATGCGTGAATCTGTAACTGACCTGAAATACAGTTATGTGTTTAGTCTTTGGAAAAACAATAACTTGTGAGAAACACACCAAGGTATTATTCATGTATTATAATCACCTAAAATATAAAATTTAAGCCTAGAAGTAGTTACAGCTCAGGTAAAAATAAGATTTAAAGGGAAAGACTTTTAATCACACAGTACTTTAAGGTTTAACAGCAACTTGTCATAATTCTACATGAGTCAGACACATCAAGCTTCAAGCATTTGGCAACCAACAAGAAATGTTTTATTATGAAATGTCCTGCGCACTTTTATTTGTGGTAATTACAATATTAGTCAGCTGATTATTCCTAGACTCTACTAAAATGTACATATAGTTGGACACTTCAGGAGACGTACTCATCCAGTTTCTGATGTTTAGGAAACTTTGCTCGTTTGTGAGGTCAAACAGGAGGATGAACCCCATCGCATCTCTAAAGAAAGCGGTCGTCAAACTTCGAAACCTAAAATCAATCAGAAAAAAAATACTTAAGAAAAAAAAAAAAATACAGTGAAGGCACATTTAAAACCCACTGAAGAGGTTTGAAGAAGTTGAGAAAGCGTTAGCAGATGAACTTTATGTACCTCTCCTGTCCTGCAGTGTCCCACAGCTGCATGTGGATCTTCTGTCCTCTGGCTGAAGATCCATCTGGACTTGTTGATTTGTATACCTGAGCGACACAGAGACAAGTCAGGTCAGACATGGCAATACTTGGCAACATTCCTGCAGCTATTTTACTGATCAATGAAATAAATAAAATGACTTGATTCATGTTATAATACTGTGAGGACAGTAATCAAAAGTCAACAAACTACCGAACAACTTTGGATCATTAGTATGAATCATACTGACTGGAGGCTGTTCAGCTACAACTGAATCACTGTGTTTAGCTCAGGTGTGGAGGTGAGAAACCCAAAAAAAAAGGCAATAAAAAATGTTTGATGCAAGTTTGACTTCATTAAACAAGTAAACTTGAAGATGTACAGCCAACGTATGTGTTTCATTTGGGTTTATTGATTACCTAATTAGTCATTTACCAGAAAAACTATTTGAATAATTGCTGTTGACAGTATGAATCATTTTCCAAGCAAAAATGCCAAATATTCCCTAGGGCCAGCTTCTCACTTGCTGTTTTTCTTTGTCTTTTAAGACATAGAGAGATAATTAAGAATTACAGATGATCAAAACATATAAACAAATACCGCCGTAGTAATTTCTATTTCACAGCTCAGTTCCTGAATCCAAACACATCTTCTCTTAAACCTCTATTTAACAGCGATAAACTTCTGGAGGGGCAGTAAACGTGACTGACCAGGTGGATGCTGCATGCCTGTGACCACTGGGCAGGAAGACACAGTATTCTGCTTTCATTATTTATTTGATAAAACTACTTCAACCATTGCAACTGTCTGGTGTTTATTTTTTTTTACGTAATGGCTTTTACCACTGAAAGAGGAGACGCTCGGGGTTGTTTCAGTTCACACTGTGATTATTTACTGCGCTTTAACCATGACAGGTAACTGATAATAGTTACCTGGTAAGTGAATGATTTATTACTATTGCAACTGCAGATGTCGAAATGTTGATTTATTTTTTTTTAATTTTCCTTATACAGTATCTACTTGCTCAATATCTTTTTCTCAGTAGTGATGGAAACACTTCTACCAAGAAGACAGTGATGAATATGACGGACTGAATGTCCAGTGCAGTCATGAAAAATCGATTATTTATCTACATACATACATACATACATACATATATATACATTAGGCTCCTTTTTCTTGGAGCTGGAGGTCATCACATTAAAGAGAGAGCAGAGTAAATATGAACACTGCTCAGCTGTTTGCCAATGGCATGAAGTGTTTGTTCTTAAGGAGGGTGCTGCCTGTCGTCTACCAACATGAGTCATTAGTCAGATTTCTGTTGCAGCATTCATCAGTAGTCTTTTGTTAACGGGGTATTACTTAATGTTGTGGGAATGCATTTAAGCCCCTAATCAGGCAGCCATAAATACTTGCAGCGCACATGGGCACAAGGAAACCTTACAACACAAGTGTGTGAAATCCCTTCGAGCTTTTCCTGAACAACTGAATGAAGGAGGGTCCTATTATCCCGAAGCTGGCGTTGAGAAAAGTTGAACAACTTACCACTCTCTTTTCTCTGAAGTCTATTCCAACTGTAGTGATGAACTTGGAGTTAAACTTGCCATCTGTGTACTGGTATAAGAAGCTTGTTTTTCCCACGCCGGAGTCACCGAGCGCTAGGAATTTGATGAGGTAATCGTATTCCCCATCAGACATAGTGAGTCCTTAATTTCTGAAACACACAAAACAACTTAGTCAACCGACAAATCAAACTATTTGGCAGAGAAATAAATCTCAAAGTAAAGCGATATTCGTTTTATTCTCCAACAAATTAAACGGTGAGGACTGACATTGTAACACTCTTGCCAACAACCTTGTTAATGAACAAAAACTAAATTTAAAACTTCTAGTTTATACAAGTCAGTATCTTATCCAAGCATGCAAACATTAAGCAAGGTTTAAAATGCATAGTGCACATCCACATCAGTCACACGTTTGCTGTAGCAGACATCTTCTTAAACATGGGGACTGCAGTTTAATAAATGAAGCCTACGTACATTCATCCATGGTGCTGTACATGCTCACTGCACAGCAGCACACATCTGCTCTGGCACATACAGTAGTACCCAGCAAAAGAACGATTACTTTGTGAGTAATGTTTGCTAAACACTACAGCTGCCATACAGAGATGAATTTCTTCAGTACAGACTCGTGGGTTTGAGGCTGAAAGCCACATAAACAGTCTGTTACACTAATTAATAGTGTAACTCTCATTCAGGTCTACACTCCCTCTGCTCACTACGCTCAACCAACAAAAACCGCCTGATCCAACCACCGCAACAGGCCCGAGGTCGACAGCTGGACTGTTCTCCTCTGTGGTTCCACGGTGGTGGAACGAGTCACCAAACTGTTCAATCTGCTGACTCCCTCTCCGTCTTTAAGAAAAGACGAAAGACCAGCTCTCCACCTTTGCACTTAACTGCCCGAAAACAAACAAACAAACAAACAAAACAAAATCCAATTACCTCCCACACAGCCGGCTGTTAACATCAACGCCCTGTCACACTTGAACTTGTTCTGTGGCACTTATCCAGATTGTTTTCTCCTGACTAGATGCTTGCTTGTGTTGTATCTACTCTCAGATGTGCGTCACTTTGGATAAAAGCGTCTGCTCAATCAAACTGTAGAATTGTAGAACAGAGACTTGGTCGCTGGTAACTTGTGAATTCTTACATTCCACTGTGGAAATAGTAGCAGAAAGTATTGTACTTGACATGGACACTACTGTTTTTCATTCAAGTGTGGGAATTTTTCAGGACATGTAAGTGGATGGATTTATACTCAAATGAAGTTTGACTAAATGTAGTGCATTATGTAGCAAAGCACAGGTCTGCCTGGACAAGGCTTTTAAGTTCTTCACTAGAAGGTGCTAAAACAACACTGAGGCCCTGCAGACTGCACACACATGTTCAAAAGCATACCTGCAAACAGGTGTTTCAAAACA